CCAAAGGAAATTACAGAGAAGCTAAATGGGCCATTCCGTGTCAAATTGCATACTTTTAAATGTTGACCTCTCAAAGTTTTTTTACTTTTTGTTGGGTAGTAGAGTCTGGGCTAGTATAAAGAAAGCTGAAGAAAACCTGAAAAAGTGAATTCCCAACCAAATTACACCCTTTCAAAATTTGCAAAATTTGCCAGGTTGCCGCTTGACATACCTACCTTTCCAGACTTGTAATTTACCTTGTTTTTAAATTTGTCGTGTATATTTACTATTTGAATTCTATTAAAAAATCACATAAATACAATAAAAATAAAATTTCGAACAAACGTAAGAAAAAAAAAGAGTTTTAAATTTTTTAAAAAAGATACAATTTATGCAGAATTTTTTGCTTTAAAACATATCAGAATTTGGAGATAGTGATTTTTCGGCATCGAGAGCTGCCAGCCGGAGTGGAGTGTAAACCTGAAGAATAAAAAACCTGCTACTTTTACGGTAATTCCATATATTTTTACAGTGACGAAACCAACAGTAGCGCTTGTGAAAGCTGCCGACAGCTGCTATAAAAGTCCGGTGTGCTTTAAACGTTGGAAATTTGTAGAAGTCGTATTTATTACAAAAGGTTAACAAATTATTATTTTGCATGTCAAAGCTGGCATTCATTCCAATGCCTTCTGCCCCTCGCATTTCGTAATTTCTAGACCCTTAGAATTACTTCCATAATGTACCTGTTAAAGTTCCGGTTGCACAAGCTCTACTTGTTGGTTTTTCTTTGCTGTGGTTCTCCAGAAACATAGAAATTCCAGGTAAGCCTTAACCCACCAGCTGACCAGGTAAAGCAGTAGGTTCCCAGACTCCTTCGTGATTTCAAAATATGTACGAGGGTATAATTTTAACAGAATAAAATGCAGGAAGGAGAAGACACAGAAACACGCAAAATAATGATCTGTCAATAATTTGAAGTAAAATACAACTTTTGTAACAAATTTCCAACGTTTAAAAACATACCAAAGTTTTCTAGCTGCTGTCTCCGGCTTTCAGAAGCGGCTCAGAATGGTTCCGTCATCTTTTTGTCGACATCCGATTACTGTTGAAGTAATGTGTTTTTTCAGTTTCACATTCCTTCCTGGCTCACAACTCTCGATACTAAAAAATCCCCATTACCAAAATCTGATATGTTGTGGAGCAAAAAAATTCTAC